CAACGTGGCCAATATCTAGAGATAGGAACTGTAGTTCAGTCTTTCTACAGGATAATAGGTTGTAGTTGTAATTGTGCGGACAAGCACAATCATTTTACACAAACTGCTTGGGAGGCAGAATGCTGCCCTTGGGAAACTAAGCAGGTCTGGAAATGCTTAGCAAATAAAAAGATAACCATTCAGCAATTCCTTCCTTCTACATGAGAATATTTCATCTCAACACCTAATCATCTCCTTCAACCAGTGACTTTTTAGTGAGACCAATGGGAGCAACAGCCAAGTAACCTTTGCAAGGAGAGGATCTACCTAGGGTTTAGTTCAGCATTTGAAATGATTGGTTTTTTAAAAAAAAAAATTTCAAGAGAGTCGAACAAATAATTTAGGTTTCATAGCAAAGGTCACATTTCCCCAAGCTCATGGTCTCCAGGTGTTGGCAGATAGTTTTTTTAAACTTATTATAGAATTGGAATACAGCATCTAGTTCTGGTCACAATACAAAAAAGATGTTGAGACTCTAAAAAAGAAGTGCAGAGAAGAGCAACAAAGATGATTAGTGGTCTGGGGGCTAAAACATATGATGAACGGTTGCAGAAACTGGGTAGGTCTAGTGAGTCTAACCAAGAAAAGGACTAGGGGTGACATGATATCAGTCTTCCAATATTTGAGAGGATGTCACAGAACAGGGGGACAACCTAGTCTACAAAGCACTTGATGGCAAGGCAAGAATTAAATTTAGCAAAACTAAGCAAAAAGAGATCCAGCCTAGAAGTAAGGAGAAAGTTCCTGAGAGTAAAAACAGTTAATCAGTGAAGCAGGTTGCCTCCAGTAGTTGTGGGTGCTCCACAGTGGTGGGTTTCAAAAAATTTTAGAACCTATTATGTAGGTGTGGCCTATTTTGTGGGTGTGGCTTGGCAGTCATGTGACCGAGTGGGAGTGGCCAACTTGTAAAATGTGGTGAAAATCATTTAATAATGCTCTTATTTAGCAACCAAAATTTTGGGCTAAATTATGATCATAAGTTCTCTTTCTTTTTCTTCCTTTTTCTTCTTTCCTTCCATTCTTTCTTTCTTGTGTCTTTCTCCCTCTTTCTTTCTTCTTTCCTTCTTTTCTCTTCCTTCCTTCTTTCCTTTGTTCCTTCCTTCTTTCTTTCCTATCTCTCTCTTCCCCACTTACTTTCTCTTTCCTTCTTTCTCTTTCTTTCTTTCTCTTTTTGTCTCTCTCTTTTTTCTCTTTCTCCCTCTAACTTCCTTTTATTCTCT